TCCCCAAAAAAAAAAAAAAAAAAAAATCAGTCATCACAAATTCATTTTTGAATGACTCAGTCATTTCGGCCTGTACGTCAATCCATCTTTATTGAGAATCTGCTATATGTGTTGTGTTGTTTGGGACCCATCTTGAGAAGAAAGGTAGGAATTGAGGGATGAGAGGAAGTGGATTTAAATTCTTGTCTATTTTTCCAATTAAGTATCTGCTTGGAGTCAGCACCAAAAAACTAATACTGTTCACTATAGCTTAGTATTGTATGTACTTTCTATAAGGCTATCTATATTTACCTAATGTTTCCTAAAATTTCAGTTAGAAAAACTTATTTGATTTTAAAATTAAATTAGCTAATAAGCAATCAATTGATAATACCAAAATTCAACAAAATATGCATTAGGCATTGCTTGCTTTTGACAAATGAATTACTCTATTCATATGCCATAGCATTGCTTTGTATTTCTGTGAATCTATAATGTGAGTGTCATTATTTGTACAGCATACTATGAGCCTAATAACTTTCTTTCTTTTTTTTTTTTTAAAGAAGTTTTTGTTATAGGGCATGTGTGCTCACCAGACAGAGAGACAGAAAGTGAGAAATCACCCCCAGGGGGGATGGCCACGCCGCAATCTCTTCTCCTCCATTCTCCTCTTGGGATCTTGGGCACGCATGCACATGTGCCCGGCGTGAGTTTTAAGCCACCGGGTCCAGGACGCAAACCACGGTCAACTACATGGGAGTCCAGCGACATAGCCATTACACTAACTGCTGGTCCCAGAGCCTAATAACTTTCAAATTCCATTAATAGTGAAGTCTTAAGTAATTGTGTCAATATTGAGTATTCAAGGGAACCAGCAGTTGGCATAATGGCTATGTCGCTGGACTCCCATGTAGTCGACCGCGGTTCACATCCCGGACCTGGTGGCTTAAAACTCACGCCGGGTGCGTGTGCGTGCATGCCCAAGATCCCGAGAGGAGAATAGAGGAGAAGGGACTGCGGTGTGACCATCCCCCCTGGGGGGTGATTTCTCGCTTTCTGTCTCTATGTCTTTCTCTCTGTCTGTCTGGCGAGCGCATGCACCCTATAGTGAAAATCTCTCCCCCCCCCCAAAAAAATTGAGTATTCAAAGTCAAAAGAAAAAATATGGGAGAAGATATCATTTAAAAGGAACTTTCTTCCAAAATGGAAGCAAGTAAGACCTCAATTGTATAATCTAAAGATATTATCATTATGTACTCTACAGCTGCAATATCTGCCCCCCCAAAAAATGCTATTAAAAATTTCCTTTTGCAGGACCAGCAGATGACATAATGGTTACGTTGTTGGACTCCTACATAGTTGACTGCAGTTCAAGTCCTGGATCTGGTGGCTTAAGACTCGTACTGGGCATGAGTGTGTGTGTGCCCAAAATCTCAAGAGGAAAACTGAGAAGAAGGAATTCCAGCATGGCCATCCCCCTGGGTAGGTGATTTCTCACTTTCTGTCTATCTATCTTTCTCTTGTCTCTCCAGCAAGTGCAAGCACCCTATAGCAAAAAAAACTCTTAAAAATAAAATTTGCCTTTTGCAGTTAACCACTTCTCTTGCTTGCACAGGTACCTCTCAATTACTTAATTTTGAAGTTCAGTAATAGGAGATTAAGAAAAAAACAATTTGGGCCAGATGGTAGTGTGGTGGTTAAGGCAGCTGGATGCCACATGACCGACTTCATGGTTTGAGTCCTGGACCCAGTCACTTGAAAAACATATTGAGTATATGTGCCTGCATACCGAAAATCCCAGCAGGAAAATGGAGAAAAAGGGACTGCAGCAGGACCACCCCCTGGGGGGGAGGACTTTCTTACTATCCTTCTCTCTCTTTCTCTTTCTCTCAATAGAGCGCATGTACCCTATATCAAATTTCAAAAAAATATTAAGAAGGAAAAAACAAACAAACAAACAAAAGGATGAAGATGCATTTCTCTTCAATTGTATGTGAATACTGGGCTGTAGGTTTCTTCCTTGATATTCTCTGACTGGGTACTTTTCTACATCATTAAGTTCCATTTCCTGTGATTGATGGCACTTTAAAAACATCAACACAGTAAGCAGACAGTGATACTGTGCCCTCAAATCTTTTCCTCTAAGAATGTCTCTAGAATACAAGAGGAGAACTGTTGGAGGTCTGTCTGTCACAACTGGGATATATACCATTTGGCATGTGGCTGCAACATTACAAAAAAAATTACAATTTCAAGTCTTCCCCACATTGTTGTGTTCAGTCAGAAAAGGCCTCTTCAGTGATACTCTGCTACTGAAAATCTGGTATCAGGTGAGGAAAGGCCTTACTCCTCTCATTTAATTGGGCATCTCCTTGGGTTAAAGTGTGCAACTCAAATTTCTCCAGCCATGTTTCTGGTCAAAAATAGATTCTTCAGAATCCAACTAATTCTTGAGAATGTATTTTGGTTAGTGGTCTTCTAAAAGATCAAGGATTTTGTGCATAGTCTCCCTTTTTGAAAACTAGCTTCCAGGGGACCAGCAGATGGTGTAATGGTTGTGTTGCTGGACTTCCACGTAGTCGACCGCAGTTTGAGTCTCAGACCTGGTGGCTTAAACCTCACGCTGGGCATATGTTCATGCGTGCCCAAAAATCTCAAGAAAAGAATGGAGGAGAAGGACTGCGGCATGCCCATCCTCCCCAGGGGGTAATTTCTCGCTTTCTGTCTCTGTCCCTCTGGTGAGTGCATGTGTACTATAGCAAAAATCTCTCTTAAAAAAAAGAAAAAGAAAAAGAAAACTAGCTTCCTTCTAAACTGGTGACCAGGAGATATACAAGCCCTTTTGTGTCTGTGGCTTCCCTAGCATGGTGGGGAGGCAGCCAGTATCTGTCAGTGCTGATGGATGGGCAGTAGCCCACAGGGGCGCTGGGGACAGGGAACACTGTTGGAGCTCTGACTGACAGGGCAGATGGCACATGACAACCTCTGCCTACAGCCAACTTCCTTACACAACTTTCTACATAGTTAATGCCCTACTGCGCAGGCTTCCCTGGTATTCACCCTCTGGGCTTTACTGGCCTGCAACTGGCTATTTAGCAGAACATCTTTCAAATCCTCAAGATTCTGGCTTATCACCATCTGTTAAAATGCCAAAAAGTGTATTCATGGGCTGTAAGTCTATAATCTTGAATGACATTTTATAATTAATAAAAGTAACAAAATGGCCAAACCTTCCAAAACACCATTCAAGTCTTGGCCTCAGGAACAAAAATACCAGCTCAGCACACCACGTACGGTTCTCTGTGTGTGTGTGTAAGAGGAACAAACTGCTACCGAAGTCACTTCCATATAAAGAATTCTGCTTATAGTGGTTGCAGATGTAAGAAGAAAACTGGTCTGTTTAACCTGGGTGCATATTTCATATATCTTTCTTTCATTCTCACATATATAACCCTGAGGGCATTGGTAACTGAAATCAATAAAAAAGCACCAAGTTGTGCCCTAGCTAATGTTCATATTGATTAACCCTATTTTTAAATGACTATGGAACAAAGTCAAGTGCTTTTATATTTTGGAAACTTTCTTAAAGTTAACAGCAAGGTCACAGAAATAACAAAATAGCAAACAAAAGGGGAAAAGAGCTATAAGATGAAATGGGAACTATATTTAGATTAACTCTTCCTTTACCAGATTCCAAATATATTCAACTGTATAGGATAGAGAGTCATGTTTTATATTCAGTAGCCACTCAATAAACATGCTCCTAATTTATCCTAAGAAACATTTATTCTACATATTCTAAATCTTCACTTTAGAATTAAGTGTGGTAAGTAATTTCTAACACAGTTTCACTTCAGAATTGCATGTGATAAATGATAGGTAATACAAAGAGCCTTCTAGGTTACAAGTAGCAAGAAACACACAGTAGCTTACGAAGCTTGGCACACTGACTGGAGATGATGGGGTACCCCTATATATGTGCCAGCAATTACAACAGATAGATATTCCCATTTAGCCAGGCCAATCATCCTAAAAGGCAGGTATTATTTGGACAAGAAAAATTAGAGTTGAGGGAGGTTAAATAACGTGCCCAAAACCATGCAGCAATCCTCACTAACTGAAGTTTCATGCCACACACAATGTATGTACCTGTATAGAGTTGAAGGTTTGTAAAAATTAGAGTGCTATATTTAGCTATGATAGAAAACAAGGTTTTTGGTGATACTTTACCAACTCAACTTAATGGTAAATTACTTTTAAACATTAGACAGTTGACACAGAGTAAATCCCACTAAGAAACTATTATATGCATATTTTAAAATAGACAAATCTTGCAAAAGTCAATGAGTTATTAAGGTCATATTCTCATTTTCTTTACTGCTTCTGGAAGGTTTTTCAGTTTGCTAAGGACTGCCGTTTGAGCTGCTGTTTTGATTTAATATGTAATTTCATCCAT